TGCTAACACTTCTTTTGTTAGTATGGTGATAACATTAGTTCCAATTAATAAAAATATATCGTTTGGATAATTTTTAATTTAAATAAGTAAAGAGAATGTCACTTAGGCACACACATGTCATTAATTAAAATTGAGAAGGCGAACTCATGTGTGTCTTGTGGTTTTAATTTGGGGGAGGGATGCATTAGTGGAATATGATTCCATCATTTACAAAATCATTCATGTATTACAAAATCGATGAATTTGCATAAAAACATAAATTACATGCAAAATTATATAAATGAGTTGTGTCTTTTTTTAGTTAATAGCATTTTGTATCTCTTTATTATTGTAAATTAACAAACATATCTCTTTATTTTTTCTACAAACACACCCTTTTAATATTAAAACGTAACAAATAATACCCTACCATCTAATATTCCATTAATAAGCCGTTTGGTGAGTTGTGAAATGACCAAATGCCCTTATTCAGTACTAATTATGTTTTGTCGTTTTTTAATCACAGCCCAATTAAAAAGATCTCAATTGCACCCTGCTTGAGGAAGGCTTTGGAATCACAACCCAATTAAAAAGATCACGCTTGCTCAACTAATACATCTATATATGTATGTTATCTAAACCTCTTGTAGTAATAGTAACACATCCCGAAATTATGTGCACTTTATATGCAACAATTGGTTGATAATCTAACTTGGTTAAGGGCAATTGGCGGGAATTTTGATGGATTTGAAGGTCAAACTATCCCGAAATGGCACATTTATATATATGGCCATCCCTAACATCTATCTATAAATTTATGAAGCATATTCATGAGTCAGATTTTCTCTATTTTAAATTTGCTGATCAGGGATTAATTTTCGGAAGGGTGATTTAGTCATTTCCACTCGGTTAAATTAAATCATGCGCATCGTTTTGTCCATGGAAAAAAGTTGTTGTCGCACGCCAACAGGCTCTGGCCCAAACTCCGCCGGCCCATTTGGCCCAAACTCCACCTTCTTCCTCTGCCGACAACGACCATCAACCCCCTCTGTACAAAACATACCCTCAGCTCTACAATCCTCGCCGGCGGTGGCTAACGAATACAGTAGGAAGGAGCTCAGGTCACCGCCTTCTTCCCCATCTTTACCCAATCTCCATCTAATTTGCTTTCAGATTCCTCAATAAAGCCATTCCCTCTGATACAATCTAAAAATGGAAGGTCCCACATTGATGAAGCAAGCTGTCTGTAGGAAACACGGGTGATGCTGGAATCGAAGTGAGAAGAGAAATAGAGTCAGTTGTTGCATGCTCGCAATTGTCCGGATCTCTTTGATTTCTCCTCAAATAACCCTCTGGCCAGAAGAAAGATTTAGTGGAGGGATTATAGGCATGAATCAAATGACAAGGACCGCAATTTCTTCATATCTTATTTAATTGAATTCATTGCAGTTAATAGGTTTATATGCAATTTTCTCTTTTCGATGTTAAATGTAGGGTTATAGGTATAATATGTCACTCTACCATGACGCTTTATCAAACATGCCCCTCTACTATTTTTTACATTAAACATGCCCATGTATTTTGTAAAAATGATCAAACATGTCATTTTGTTAAAATTTTCATCCAAAAACCGTTAATCAAGGCCGAACTTTAGTTTGGGCAACACAAATGACTAAAATATCCATAATAAATTCACTTTAGAATTTTTTTTGTTCTTTTGTATAATCAAATCATTCAAATAATTTCACTTTGAAAAGACCCAGGGAAATAAAACAGGGGACAAAACTGACATTTTTCCTCCCATTTGCCGATGTCGGGTCATCTAAATCTCGGTTCAACCACGATTGACGATTTTTTCAATGAAAATTTTAACAGAAGGACATGTTTGATAATTTTTTCAAAGTATAGGGGCATATTTGATGTAAAAAATAGTAGTAGAGGGGCATGTTTGATAAAACGTCATAGTAGAGAGGCATATTATACCTATAACCCTTCAATGTATCAAAGATATTTGTATGAGTGCCATCTGTTTACAATGATAGCCAAAAGCGCCACATGCCTACATCTAACAATGGTTTTATTAGTCATAATAAAAATAATAATAAAAATTGGCCTTATTAACTTCCTCCACCTTCACCAAGACTTATCGTAGAAAACTATCCTTCAACAGTCTTCCATGGTTATACAGGTATCCAAAGTACAAACGAGATGGATATTTGTTGTCCCAACCATTCTTCTTAGTTCCGATCCTAATACGGGAGTTTCTAACAAAGTTTTCGTGTTGTTGATTCCTAGGGTTCGTGCTTTTTCCTCCATGCCCACCTATTGGTACTATTGGAATGGGGTTAATCTACAATACAAAAACCATGCCTGCCATAGGGATAACCTTTCGCGGATTGAAAAAATCATATCGTACCGGCGGTTCGACTAGAAAAATCATCTACCTGAGATTAAACCGGTAGAAGGTAGGTAGCAGTATGAAATGGTTGAACAACGGTTAAATCATGTTTTTAGTATAAAATATCCAACCACTGAGTTTTCCAGTACAATCTCCGGTACAGTATCTCAATCCTTATTTTCATTGAATTTTTTCCTTTTTGTTGTTGGTATTTTCATTATAATTTGAGTTTTTAACACGTTCTTATACACATTTTAGCTTTATTTACTTTAGAATACAAAGGCTTATTTAGTTAGGCGTGGGTAAAAACTAATATTGTACGATCCATGAATTGAAAAAATGTAAAATATTGTTGTGTTTCATGTGGAACGATGAAGTCTAAAAATTATCAATTCAAACTGATCATGTGTATTTTCGAAGAACCCAATTTAACTTGAAAATTTACGAAATGGATGATATTTTTATATTATATTTTATAATTTGTAATAAGTAAAAAAGTTTGAAATTGAGGATGCGATGAATTTCTTTACCAAACTAGAATAATATGGAGAAAAGAGAGTCCTTTAAGCTTATTGATGGAATTATCGACTCTGAAAGGTGATTAAACGGCTAGGACATATTTGTTTCGCTATTAACTCATACCATCTCAAATTATTCACGTTTATTGATTTTCTTAGATGTATTATGATAATTGCCTTTTAATTATGAACTTAATTAAACTAACTTTATCATCTATTAAAACATGGTGATTTGAAGGGATTTCTTATCCATCCTATTAAAAGGATGTAAGTTTTTTTGCACGTTTTTTACTCTTGTTTCTTCTCCAATAGTGATATGCATGGCGACTGCCAAATGTTTTATTTTTCATTTCCTTTTGTTTTTAACGTCCTTTTTTATATAATTGTTTCAAAACCAGTTTACTCCCCCATTGATAATTTGTTTAGCGAATTACCAAGTTTTTTCATTTTGTCATTCTTTTCCACATGAGAATTTGACATATTGATCCATTATTATCCCAAATGCCCCGTACACCTCGAATGTATGTTTTAAACAATTGTTTCACAACCACCTCTGCACTTGCTTCACTGGGACATTGGGTATTATTAGTTGGTCCGCTATAATAGAAACCACATGCATCTCATGTCATGATTCTTTACATTTCATCATGTTCTTTGTATCACATTAGTTATGTATCTCATGTCATGTTCTCATCTATAGAAAGACTCATGTTACAATTATTAAATGACTCACAAATTTACAACTCTGTATAACATGTTTGTCAACTATTAATGTTTTGATTTAAATAGAAACCATATGCAGAATTCTAGATATGGTGCCTTATCGCATAAATTTTATGAGGCAAAGATTTGTGTTTCTCACACATATTATATCTATAAACCAAATGATTTTGCTGCAACTCCTCACAACAATTATTATTTCTTAGTTATATTAGTATTCTGTTACTAATGGATGGTTCCTTTAATTTAACAAATTATCTATCAGGCAAATTGAAGAATTTTCCACTTCACAAAGATGGATCCTTCTCATCTTTTATTAGTGGGATTGAGTCCTCCCAAACCACAGCTCATCATTCAAACCATGTTGCGACAGAAAAAAAAACTGAGAAACAATTGGATGTTGTTGCAAGCCTGCAACTCCTGACAACAAACTCAGGAGAAATATGGCCTTTATGTGAATTATCTACTTTGTTTCATGAGTGTTGTTTTTGTTCAGGGTAAATAAAATTTATTAGTTAAAATTTTAAAAAAATGTATATGTTTTATCAAGTTAAATTTTTGTATGCATCAAAATATTAGCCATTTGTTTGTTAGCGTTAGTAATATAGTAACTCATTAATAATTTGAAAAATCATTAAAAATGATTTGAAAAGTTTAAAAAGTTTTATAAATAAATTATAGTTGACCTTTTATTTAGGATCATAGAATTAGTTACTAAATTATCTACTCAAACCAAGGCTCACAAGGGCTTTCAAGGGGTTGGGGTAAAGGTCGGATCAGATTAAAAGAGTGAGTAGTAAAGTGAAAGAGTTTTCGAAGTTTGCCTAATTTTATAGACCCATCTTTACATTTTGGATTTGGGCTATCGTTTTGTAGAATTAAAAGAGATTCATGGATAAAACAATACAAATAATTATTTATCTCTATCAGAGATCAATAATTTTCTTTCATATTTGAGGTTGATTACGCATGTATCATGTGAAACAACTACAATTTTCAAATATATAGTTTACTTAAATTGCTCACCTTAGTTATAGATAGTCAATTGACTCTTAGTTATCTTATTTGAATGTTATATTATTTTCTACTCTTTCAGCTATATTGTGGCACATTATGCATAGTCGGACAACTTGGCAATATGTTTTCCAATAGAGAATTGTACAAATCATATATTGCATGCATCTCTAATATATATCATATCTATAACTATACAATTATTCCACCTAAACTCACTGGGTCAACAATGTTTAGCTAGAAGTTACCAAAACAAACGAATTGTTGTCAATTGGATTTATATTTCAACCTTTACCAAATGATCAATTATGCGTAGGTTACCCGCCCAACGGGGCGGGCGTTGTGCTAGTGATCTCTTAAGGCAAATGTTAGCTATACACTGATGTTTATTACTGGACTTTTCATAACCTTGATCTGGAAATTCCCGTTATGAGTATCAGCTGTAATCCAATCTTATTACTCTAGGGGCAAAATTCAAAATCAAGGATATACATCATGCATAAAACCTTTTGTAATAGTCAGGGAAAAGTGTGATTTCATTACTCTAAGCAGTGAACCAGCTCACGAGAACAATTCCACGTACAAAGGAAACTGTTTCTGAACGAGTGATTTGTACAACAAGGGAAAAAGAAGCAGCAACACTCATTTTCTAACTGGCAAATTCTCAGCTGCAACAATTTTGCACCACTCTTGTCAAGTATGCTTCGCGAGAGGAAAAAAAGCATGTGTACAATGATTTCATCAGCAACGAAGAAGCACGCGCTCTTTCTACTCGAACTTCTTGATCAAAGACAAATCGTTTAACATTTTGTCGATCGCGTCGTCATTGAGGGACCGGTCCTTTGACTGTGCAGTAGCAAACAGTTCACTAATTTTATCAGAAAGCCAGGGGACAAACAATGTTTTATTTATGCACGGTTGATGAAGAATGCATATTCAATTTCAGAATAACATGATTCCATCAAGACAGAGGGTAGCATGTTAGAAATATTTATACCTTGAGAGATGGCACCATTGTTATCGCTTCCTCCACAGTTTCGGGACAAAGATTACCAAGAACACAGAGCTGCAAGGGGAACATAAATAAGGTTCAGGATATTGAAGGCACCACATGACATCACATATATCACTGGGTTGCCATGCAATTTACCTCGAATTCGGCCAACTGGTATCGGCTTAGGATTCTGAAAGCTTGGTTAAGTTCCAACATTTTAGAGCTATGGATATTGAGCATTTGCCAAACAAAGAAAAGGAAACACACTCTGTGATAAAGCAAAGTCGATAACCAAGCCAAATATATCACATCATAAGTATCTTGCATAATGATAGTTGCAATTAACATTTCTACTGATCTATCAAGGATACTCTCGCACTTGTCTGACGGCATCAGGGTTTTTGTACCGGCTAAAGCGCTTTACATACTGCAGTGATTTCTCAAACACCCTGCAAAAGAGGAGCAATCAGTTTGAGTTACTTCAACATGTAGACCCTCATAGACCACATAGAAGTCCATCCATTGCTATCTTACCACAAATAACATAGAACAAAAGGTGCAGAAACCCACTTAATCATCTCAAAAGACAAGGGAGTTGCAGTAAATTCAACCACTTTAAAGGTACAGAAAGCTAGATTGAGAAGAAACTTACTGGGACATCTGATTCGTAGCGTCCTCTGACATCTGCTGAAGCTGCTCATACTTGTGCTCAAGGATCAAAGAAACTTCACAATTCATCAAACATTTCGCCTTTAGAAACTCTGTGGAGTGGAGAAGAACAAAAACCCTTATAAGGAGGATACCAATAGCAAATACACACACAAAAAGAAATAATCCTTTCAGCATGTGTCGCTACCATCTCCAATTTTGAGCTCGGCGGCATTCTCTTCCTCTTCTCCTGACATTCTGATGACCCCAAAACAAGTTCACCATAAGTCGAAGAAAGTGAAATAATTTCGATTTCAAATTACTAAGCTGAACCCAGAACCCAGAAACTCCATTAAAACCCCAATCAATTCTGATTTCTCAATCCTACTAAAGAAACTCAGTTCATGCGCAAAATGGTAGACTGTAACGACGATGACCCGTCGGCGAGATGAAAACTACGCGAATTTCGTTGCACTATCAAATCCGACAAAAACAAACACATATAAACCCTAAACATAGATAGAACAGAAGAAAATGGCGGAAGCCGATCTACCCAAAAACATAAAAGGCTGTAGTTTTACAATAGGAACTGCCTTTCGTAGACTGATTCCAAGATATTGAAAGAAAAGACATGGATGGACAGCGAGAAAAGGCAGTCAAGCAGAGAGCACCTTTCTTTCTTTCGATGGAAGCAAAAAGCTTTAGCAAGAGGAGTTTTTGGGTTCGCGCTTTCACTTTCTTCTTCGCAGATCGCGGTTAAATATACAGTAGTGTTTAGATTTCCGTTTCCTTTCCGGTTGTGGTTTCAGCCCAAATTCAAATGGGACCACAACCCTGTTCTCAATTCTCAAATTTATACGGAATCGGGTTGACCCGTTAACCCAAAAGCCCATAAAAGATGGAACTCTACCGGGTACTGCTACCAGCCTACCAATCTAGCAAACGACGGCGAATTCTTCGACCCGACTCTCAAGCTCCGCCGCCGGGTACTAAGAGCAAAGCTGCTCTCTCCCTCCTTTTGCCAGTGCTAGGGTTCGCAATGGGTTGGGTTGGGTCGGGTTGGGTCGGGTTGGGTCGGGTTTTGCCAAACCCATGGGTTTATCCGTGAAAAAAATCCGGGGTAAACCTCACTGGGTTTGAAAATTTTAAACCCAACCCGCTGGGTATCCGTGGGTGTTCATGGGTACCCACGGATTTTTGTCGTAAAAAATTTACAATAACAAGTTCCTATCAAAATTAAAGTCAAATATCAATCTCTCAATACAAATTATCAATATATAAAACACCATTCAAGAAAATTCAAGTAAATCACAAATTAACTATACAAATTGTTCAACACCAATCTAGAAAACTCAAAAAATTGAAGCAAATCACAAATTATCCATAAATAACATGATTAATTGAAAGCTTCTTCCTTACAATTAAGTTTCTTCACTCTCCACTCGATGACATCAACTTCATTCTACACAATTAGAAAGAAAAATTTAAACATGTCTCCAGAAACATAAATAAGATTAGTTGTTTAGAATATTAGATATACCGAGAAAATTAACTATATGGGTGTGTGCGGATACCCATGGGTCGGGTTTACCTAAACCCAAACCCAACCCAGTGAATAGTAAACGGGTTTAAACCCAAACCCGGCCCAAAACCCATCAACACGGATTTTACCCACGTTGACCAGGTTGGGTTGGGTGGGTACCCGTGGGTTTGGGTTTTGTTGCCAATCCCAGGGAACAGTGAAGTTTCATAGGGTCTTTCTGTCCAGGTGCAGGTAATCCGCATCTTCACAAACATGTCTATTTCACCGAGCCTAACCAGTGCCACTTCCTCAGGACATCCAATCCCTTTTCATTTGGTCTCACTTTGGGTTGATTCCTGTTTTCTGGTTATATTCTGGTTTTCTGTTAAGGATAATGGTGTAATGTCACATTCATGTGTAAGGAAACAAAATTATAACCAAACGTGAAGATTAGGATGAGTCGACGAATGATTCTTCCGAATAAAGAAATTGATCTAGCAATAATACGAAGATATAAACTACACATAGGACATTGCACAAACTACACCAAAAGAGAGATTCGTCATGAATACATTTAACATTTGTGTAACAAGTAATTGAGTTTGTAACAATGAATGCATGCATATACAGAAGGTTATGTGATACATGTGTTCCACACTCTTTCATACAGACAATAGAAAGGGGAACAAATGAAAAAAAGAATGAATTGGATGGTTAACAGGCCAAAAAAAAAAATTCACCAAACCAAAGTTCATACGTTAATGTCCAACCGTTTCGACCTCGTACTGCTGCTGCTGATTTCTTGAGAACCCAATGAGGGGAACCTCGGGAAGTTGTAGTTCTCCATCACGGAAACTGGTTGCTGAGGATAGAGCGTGGGAGGTGGCGTCAGATTTCGCTGTGCAGGCAAGGGAGGTATACTGTTGTATTTGTATGGATCACCACCCAGACTGCAAGAAATAGTCACCAAAAAGCCATTGAAATCACAGGATGAGGAAGGATGTAGGATCGGGACAAGCAAACAATTCTCAATCTCCAGTGCCTTTCACTTTAGAGATTGAAATACACAATTATTCTAGCGGGAGAAATGGAACACAGTTTACCTCGTGCCCCTGTAAAACTGGTTCTCCTCGGTTATATCTTCATCAAGACGTTGCTGTGACCTCTGAGCTGGAGAAGCTGACCATGGACTAGGAGTGCTGACTAATTCATCTGAGAAATATCTTCTCCGGATTAACTGGAATCAACATGGAGAGTTGGCTAATGTCAAACATATGAAGGGAACATGAAATAGAGGAGAGAGAGAGAGAAATGACATGGCGAATATGCATTACTGACCAGACGGAAAAACTTTATCACAGCTTCCTTGTCATATCTTGCTTCTTTTGCAGCCTGTCCACATTTAGCATACAGATAGTTATTTTGGATTCCCACCAAATTTTAAAGGATTTAAATTTGATTGATCAACTGTTCTGCAATTTGAATAGCATAATCACGTATACCACATTACCGCAATTTGCAGACCAGGAATTCACACCTAAGCTTATTGCACAGTTGCCATAACAAGTATTTGACAAGCAAAACCTCAACTAAAGGACTTATCTCGGGCATGGCTTCTCATTATAGCAATCAAAACCACTAAACATAATGGTACAAGGATGCTATTTTGTGAATGAGTTAAACGAGAAGGGCAGTATTCACGGCATTGCATTATTGAGATTAATTGATATTAGAGGATAAAGGTACAAAGTGTCAGTCCAAGAGGCACATATGATCTACTAAAATCATAAACCTCTCAGTGCCCTTCCTCTATTTATATAAAGCAGTTAGACGACCTTCTGCCCTAAAAATCTTCAGAGTTGCTTACAGCCACAGGCAAGCCTAAGCGAGAACAAAATGTTGAGTTCACCTTGTGTCATAAAAAGGCTGGTGGACCAAAAAAACTTACAGCAAGCAGTCCTGTGCTGCCCGGGAAGCTGTCAGTCAATGGAAGTTCCTCACTGGTTGGGAGCAGTCCTTGCTTCTCAACCCACTGGCGAGCAGCATCAACCAGGTTGCTGCTGCTTCCTCTTGTGCCTTCCTTTGCTGCCACATCAGCTTTATTGCCAATAGCAATGTAGGGTACAGGGAGACCGCCAGGACCCCCAGAACCCAAAGGGGCAGAGAAGGTTCCAGTTGCTGCAATTTCTGAAGCCCATTGTAGCAAGCTTGTTTTCGTCCTTCTCTGTGAGAGATCATGAACAAATATAACTCCTGAAATAAACATTTGAACCCAGAATCATGAATAAATGCTAGAATCAGGCTAGCTAAGCAAGAGAGAGAGAGAGAGAGAGAGTCCAGAATTAGACTAGCTAACCCAGCTACCTCAGTCCAGGACAGGAGAATCTAAAATCACCAGACTTCAATTACAACTAAAGCTTATGCTGACTGGACAATCAAATCACTAACTGCCATAGGATACACATTCAAGTGCAGCAGAAGTAATCTTCAATGAAATCATTCCAAAGCTGATGGAAATAGTAGCTGCAGAGCTGAGTCTGTGCTCACCATTAATTTGGGAATAGAAAAGAGACCTACAATCTTTGTAGCGCTCGTGACCTGACACATCCCAAAGCTCCACGAAGAAATCTCTCTCACCATCACCTTTCATGCTGCTGGAAGAGCTGCCACTACTTCCATAAGTAATGTGCTGCAAAGCAATAACAGTAATCATCTCGGTGAAATAGTGCAAATTGAAACTCTAAAGTTATAAACAACATTAGCACAAAAAAAGGTGAAAAAATAAATATGCTCCATGTCACCTTGACATCAACATTGCATCCAACAGTTTGAGGAGGGCGTCCAGAGGAAGAGCCTTTGACTATCAGATTCACAAGCGAAGTTTTCCCCACACCTGTGGAGGTTAACACTTTACATGTTAACAGCTTAATTTGCAAGACAAAAGAAATGATGCCACAACACAGAGCAACCCATGCCATAATTAATTTCAACAAGATAGGAAGGTTATGACGTAAAATCGCCATTCAGCAGCCTCGCCAATATACATTTTATTATACACATTCTCCAACTGAATGTTCTCTTAACTCTACTCTAGCATTCCAAGTACCATTAGATAGATCCAAATCTGACGTCTAGCTTAATCCCCATAGGGTGTCGACAATAAAAGCCACCACATGTTCTAATGACTTTGGAATGAAGTCTCTAATGATATCATTGTCAAATTAGTGTTAAGTGTTGAGTGATCTAGAACCGGGTTTGAATTGGTAATCCCTCGTCTACAGTACAATTCATCAATTAAATCCTTTCAACCTCTCTTAAGAATGACAGAAGCACAAGTGAGAATCTTCGACCATATGGTAAAACAACCAAAGACCTTAATTCATAAATGAGCAATCTATCCAATAGATCATCCATGATTCTTGTTTGCAAGGGAACTGTTTCTTCTAGTTGACTAGGGGTTTACCTCCATGATGAACGAAGAACCTCATCTCATCCATAATTGGTACTAAACATTCAATACATTACCCAAGCGAACGAAGAGAAAAAAGCTAGAGCGATTAATGCACAAGCGTTTACCAAAGAGAAACTAGAAAATTTACCTGAATCACCAACAACAAGAACACGAACCAGACCACACGGTGGACCACCATTAAGCTCCTTGCTCTCTCTTTCCCGATCCCTCCAAAACATTGTTCCCTCTTCGCCGAAACACCAAAAAAAAAAGGGAAGCAAAAGTTCACCTCGAATCTCAACCAACAAAACTCGAAATTCGATTCAGTCCTTCACTTCTAAGCCAATCAAGTCCCATCGAACACACTCAATCCTGACGAGAAAATGAAGATTCTCCAAATAGGTATGGCTGAAATAAACCCAAAATCCATCTCACCTCTGAATCAAGCCAAGGTATGAGCTCATCTTGGAACTACCAGTAAATCCTCCTCCATATTAATAAAAACTGCCAATGCCCTCCTTCAACTTACCCCCAAAAGAAAACAGCTGAAGTAAGAAACGGTAAACAGATCTGGGTGACTCAATTCTCCTTCTAGGTCAATCTTCAAACCCGGGAAAAAAGAACCGGGAATCTCTCTCCAAAATCGATTAAGAGGGGAGTCACGATCTGCAAGCAATGAACTGGGACTGGAACGAAACTCTATAAAATATGCGATCTTGTTACCGGAAGACTTCCCGTCGAGAGGGCAAACCAAATCGGAGGGACGGAAGCTGGCAAAGGCCGAAGTGAAGTCTAGAAACGGTGCAGAAAGAGGCAAAGCTTTGGATCGCGGGTTGGGGAAATTGAAACGGAGGTGAGAAGTGAGATCACGCGCAGAGAAGCGCGTTATTTTAGCAAGCACGTGCTGGTGGAATGGGCCGGTGAGCGACGGACAAGATCCGAAATTATGGATCCGCTCGAGAGAGATTGTAAGATATGGGCTAATCCGGTTTCCATCAAGCTCAGGCCCAGATCAAGTGTTTCCTTTCCTTTTAGGTGGTTTGGATCCAAAATTTTGTGGGATGGCAATGGGTCGGGTAGGGTCGGGGACGGATAGTGCATATCCGCTACCCTACCCAGAGTAGTTCGGGTTTTATCCATACCCATACCCACATAAGAAATGGGTAGAAAATCTAAACCATGCCCATACCCGTTCGGGTTTCGGGTATCCACGGTTATCCATGGGTAATAGTTTCTCTTTATAACTCCAACCAATATGTTAATATTGACACGTATTCTCACGTTACGTAAGACGAAAAGTACGACAATAATTCACTAGAATGAAGAAAATTAATTAAAACAACACAATTTCATAAAACTATTATATGTATATGCTAAATATAAAATATGTAAGAGAAAAATATTGATTATTTCTAGAAAAAATACATATGCATGTGTATAATCGGGCGGGTTCGGGTTGGATAGTGAGAAAACCATGTCCACCCATTACCCGCAATATTCGGGTTCGGGTTTTACCCGTACCCACTAAAAGGCCTTCGGGTTCGGGTTTTACCCTACTCGATTAGGTCGGATTCAGGCGGATATCCACGGTTGCGGATATTTTTGCCATCCCTAAAAATTTTAATGAGATTTTTTTGGTGTAATAATATGAATTTTTTTTATAATGGTGAAATACATTCAGAATTAAAAGCAAGAGTTAAGAAGCAAACTCTGCAGATCCCAGAAAGGAAAAGCAGCAGGAAAACAAAAACAAACGGAGCAAAACAAAAAAGAAAAGAAAAAAGTCATCGCCAACAAGCAAGACTGCAAAAAATACCCCAAACTCTAACGCCGCCACTCAACAAAACACTAACAGCTCACAACACTGGAACCACATAGGAGAGACAGGAGCCAACCAAGCAACAACAAAACACAGCTCAGCAACGGAAAACTAATTCGCCAGATCTCTATCCCTGCTTCGAACAATCAGATTCTTGGCAGAACTGGGAAGGAGACGAGCTTTCATATTGAAAAACCAGAAGTTAGCCTCCACCCTATCAACCTTTTCCCCCGCAACCAACCAATTCGCAATTAACCTTACAATTCTGATGCAAACAACATTTGGCAGCTCTTTGTGGCCTCTAAAAATCCTGGTTTCTTCTCAAGCCACACATACCAACAGAAGGCATGGAGAAAAACGCTAGAACACCACTCCTTGGGATTGTTAGGCTGTCCATCTTGTCAGTTCTTGATCTTAGAAGAAATGTCTAAGGCTCCCACGTTGATATGAACAAATGGAGTCATCATTCTCCAAACGTCTCTAGCGAACCGGCATGAGATAAATAGGTGGTCCAAAGATTCTTTATCAGCTTCACAAAGGGCACATCGGCTTGGAAGAGATTATCCTCTCCTTCTCAAGGCATCATGTGTGAGAGCTTTCCTGTGATAAACAATCCACAGAAAAACACACACCTTGTGGGGGACAACAAATTGCCATACAACTCTCAACTAAAAACTATAAAAAAAAATTGTATGGGATCTAGCATCTCCAATAATGAAATTCATTTGTAATTTCATAAGTTGTTTCCACTTTTACTTTATAAATTTACAAAAATATCAATTCCGAATAAATTCATTTGCAATTTCATAAGAGAGAGGACGAACAAAGAAATTGAGGAAAGAGGAGAAAAGGAACAAGTTGGAGGATGTAAGAGAAAAAGAAGAATATGAAGTTTTGAGAAGAAAAAAAGGATTAAAAAATTTAAAATAGTTTATGAGGATCATCTATTTCAAAATTCCACTATTTTTTAGATTCATGTCTTAAAAAAGAATGATTCTGTAGAAATTCAAAGTGAATGAGTGATTGAGCTGAAACCTTTATCCAAATTCATCATTCAAAGGACTCCTAAGTTTTTTTTATGGTTAAATCAAAAAATTTCATCAAGAACGAGCATAAAGGCTCTCAAACAAGCTATACAACCATCAAGAAGAGCAAAAAAATCATAATCTCAGCCCTATCACATCCAAACTTTGGCCTAACAGGTCTACACTCGCAGCTCTATACATCAGAATCTGCAGAACATCTTTACTTACAATGTCAGGAGATTTCACTGCTTTTGTACCATACATTCTAGAGCAGCGCCCACGCCAAATGAGACTGACCATCAAGCTCCAAACTGCACGACCAACAACAACAAAAGTCGATGAATAGTCGAACAATCATGAAACACCCTTTTGTACTACTAAATGGGTAGGCATGTTAAAAAACGAGGAGCAAAGGTACAAGTAAAGAAATTTACGAAGCAATAACAAAACCACTAGATCTCTTCCAGAAGAGCTTCATCCAGGTCGAGAACCCTCTCCCCCATCAATACTCGTCGTATCGCTAGTTGTAAGTCGCCATAGAATTTGTAACACCCTAGTCGAATCCCACATCGACAAAGCACAGGAGAGAACCATAATTCATAAGTAAGAAAACGATCTTAACTAACAAGACGCAATTTAGGGTAAAATGGAAGAATTCTTGTAAAAATCCAAAGTTAAACATGTTCACTTTGGAGCATTGCAAGGATGGGTGACCTTATCGAAAGACACATTGATATGCGCCCTAAGGCAAAATCTATAAGGCTCTAGGCCCAAATCACATAATATCTTGTCGGGAAAAAGTTTGGGATGTTACAAGTGGTATAAGAGCCTCTCCATGTTCCTCTTAAATGGTGGTGGGGCAAACCTCAATGAGGGCGTTGAGTCCCAAATGGGGGTTAATGTAACACTAGGGTTGGCTATTTGGTCCGGGTTTTCTGTTTAACCGTAAACCGAACCATATAACCCGGATCGTTTGAGACCAGGACCAGATGTAAAACAATCCAATCTTTGGTCCCGAATATAGCAAAAAACCCGGATCAATTCGGTCCGTGTTAAAACCGAGTTAAGACCGGAAAACCAGATAACCATCAAAATAGGCCTTAGAAGCCAAGCCTGCCCAAAGTCCACACCCGAGCCCAACCAACCTTCCTCTCTCTCTGGCCCATACACCAGACTCGAGCCCACACGATGGCGTCCCATATGTTCACTAGGCAGGGCCGCAGTGGATCTGTGGATCCCTAAATTCCCTTCGACTAAGCAATCGCAAGCAGCCATCCCTAACAGACTGTTTGGTACAAAATGAATCGAGAATTCATTTCATTATAAAATGAATTATTGTGTAGAATTCATTGTCAAATGAAATCTTGTGTTTGGTATCTCATATTTAAATATTTATAAATAAAAGGAATTGTCATGTAGAATTCATTATCAAATAAATTCCTATGTTTGGTATGTCATATGGATAACTAATTTAGTTAATAAAAAAGAACGATTATATCATTCTATTATAATTAGTAAATTCTTGTGGAATTCATTTGGAAATTCTATCTCAATTCCTCGGAATTGCTATAACTAGTTTCAATTCCATAGAATTAAAAATTTAGAATTGGAAATGAATTATTTTAAATACCAAACATAAAAATGTTTCATTTCAAAAATAATTCCTCAAAACTTATGGAATTCATTTATACCAAACGGTATGTAAATAATAAATTCCCTCCACGCCTCTGCAGATCTGTTCTCCGCTCCTTCGCTTTGCACCTCAGCACTATCGACTGCCGACCAGAGACCCCTGTCTCTCCTTTTACTCTGTAAAAGTCGGCCATCCTTCTCTTCACACTCCATCTCAATTTTCCTCTAGAGATCGGCCAATACCCAAAAACAAGACCGCCTCGTTCTTCCCTCCGCTGCTCTTGTTCTCTTTGATCGCTGGACACAAGAAACGACTCGGACAACCCCAGATTGACCAGAAAAAATGGCGATCTAGGTAGGATTCTGGCCTGCATGTGGATTTTTTTTTCGGTTTCTGGTTTAAGAATGACGCTCTGATTTTTTTTTCTAGGTTTCGACTTTGGACGAGGGGAGAAGAAAAGGGTCTGGCCGATTTTTTTTACAAATTGTAACTTTTTTTCCTTGCATATTTTGTTTAAGAGGAATCGAGGTGATATCATTCCTAAATCAAAGTTTATGTTTTTTTTTTACTAAATCGGATTATTGATTGAGGGAGTTTAAACTCAAAATCGGATTAGTGAAATGGATTTGCTCATCAACAGATTCCAATAAAAAAAAAAAAGAAATGGATTTGCATATTTGAGATTCAGAAAATATGGCAGGGTCTTTCTGGATCAAAACCGGATTGGGATCGAGATCGGATATAAAACGGATCGGGTCAAAACTAGACTTCACTCAATCCCGTATTTTGTCCACATGTTTCCAAAAAGACCAGCCCGGGAGACCATAGTTAGTAAAATACGGTACGAAAAAGTTACGTATATAATACGTACGTGTATTTTACTTCATTTTTAAGCTAATGTTACGTTTAATAGTACATCAATAGTCGTAAATATATAAAATTAATTATTTTAAAAATAAATAAATAATAGTTAAGTTAACAATTTAATTCATTAAATACGGATATTAAACGTGTTATACGGGTTTTATACGTGTTTAGTACGGTAGCCATCAAATGAACGGAGAAATATGAAACGACTTGACAATAATACGGATACAGAAATTTTAAACGGATAAAATACGTACAAGTACATATACGTGTATTAAACGGAGTATTTACTAACTATGCCCGGGACCGGGTCATTTCGGGCCAGTTTAACCAGACTGGACCGTATAGCCACCCCTATGTAAGACTCTAGGAAAATCACACATCGACAACAACGGGAGAGATTCATAATTTATAAGTAAGGAACCGAACTTAACTGACAAGACTTATTTTGGGGTGAAATGAAGAGTTCTTGTAAGAACTCTGAAGTTAAACGTGCTCACTGTAGGTCTTTGCAATGATGGATGACATTATGGGAAATAACCTTAATATATGCACACGAAACAAAATCGGTGACGGACTAAATCCAAAACAAACAATATCTTGCCCGAAAAAGGTTTGGGATGTTACAGAATTTGACAAACAAAAAGTCTTCTTCCATTTTTTTTCCTTGTTCTTTTCTACACCGTCTCAACAAAAACAAAATTTGATTCGTTATCACGAGTCAAGGTGAAATTTTTTATTCATATTCGTAAATAGATAGCTAAGTAGCATCATATATAGCATACAATGATCATGTCGTTACATTACATATATGTACAGACAAACTTTTACATGGACTACCATCATTGTACTATATAACACAAAATATCAGCCCAACAAAGTAGGAGAGCAACCGTCCATTCTAGCAGTCACTCCATCAGTATACATAGTCCACACTTTCTCCTCTAAGAAAACATCTATGGTTTTCACCTGCATGTTGTTTTAAGTGGAACTAGGAGAGGAGGATGAACAAGGGTAGGGTTTGGTTTGAGTAGTATTGTAATACGCATGTCGTTGGATGGAAGAAGGGGATTCGTGATTGTGAACTCCCTCGTACGTTGTGATCACGTACCTCGAGTCTTCCCTATCCTTCTCTACTCTCTTCTTCACGTTGCATCCCACGCTTGAACACTTGTAGTAGTGCCTGCAAATGAAAATCAACACAATTCTTAGAGTTAAGGTCGTTATTATCGTCCATGGTGGTTTGTCCGTATTCGAATCCTAAAAAACAAAGAGAAAAGTAGGGAACTTGATGAGGGGACCTATAAGTACGGTACCGATGGTGATATACATGGAGAAATTTTACAATGCTATATAGTATTGGTGCTATAGGTTTTTGCCTTTATGGTACAACTTAAAATTGTACATTTACGTTATGGTACAACTTCAGATTGTACCTATACTTTTTGTGCAAATTCTTTTACGGTACAACTTGAACTTGTACCTTTATGTGATGGTACAACTTCAAGTTATAAAGTTGTACCATAACATAATGGTACAAATTGCTTTATGGTACAACCTAAACTTATACATTTAATGTTATGGTACAACTTTGAGTTGTACATTAAAGCACCAATGCTATATAGCATAATAGAAGTGCTCGATATACATGTTTGATTCGACAATTTGTAATTTGATTGAATTGTCGGCGAGCTATCCACTTGTGTTTATTGAGGGAGGGAAAACGATGGATCCATTTTTTTAGTCCTCGTACCATATGTTCTAAGTAGTTTATCTTGTTTCCAAGTAGTGTTTATGTTCAAACTTTCGTCACAATTGACTACTGAAGCAAAGTCTTTCGACTAAATTGTTCAAATATTTCATTACTGTTATAAACCACCCGTTGGTGTCAATAATTTAAGTTGTTAGGAAAGGTTAACGTATGAATTCTAACCACTTCTTTTACACGCCCATGCAAACTAATTAATGAAACTCATGAGTATGAAGTTTATATATACTCGTCATTTCATGTGCTTTAAGACAACGGTTAATATTGAACTCGTGACTCATGAGGGATTTGAACATGTGACCTCATAGATAAATCAGCTCCGATCGATATCAAATCATAAACAAATTGGTTCGAATAACTTAGAATTTTTACTAGATGTCTATACGTAGAGAAAGTCACGCATATATATCCATGTCGAGTTAAATAGGGGAAACCTAGCTAGTGGGGTAAGCGAAAATAAGATATATAGAATGTTAAGCATATAAAATCATAATAATACTAAAAACAGTGTGCCCAACCCACTTTTGTCTAGTGGGTTTGCTATCAATATATACCTCCATCGAAACAACACTATTAAATTTCCAACGAGAATCATGAGTTCATAGAGAGCTAGCCATCAGTTTCTACGTACTTTCATGTGGGAGGACTTAGCCAAGTGGAGTAACATGTAGTAGTCTAGTTGCTTTTTAATATTTCGTTACGAAGTTATACTATGTGTGTAACTATGCTTCAAGCAGACATCAGCACGCACGAATATATATGTTATATAAGTGTGTGTGAATTTTCACTATACGTTGGATCTAAGTACGACATGTTATTTTAGTGGAGTATTATATGTTATAACTCATATGTTAGATGAGATTATATATAATTTATCAGGATAAGTACAGTATAATGACTCTTTGTATATTTCCGGGCTAAACCGAATTAAAACAGGTGACCCATTAACCCTTGACCCACTAGCTCCACCGGATTCGGGTCAACCCACGGGTTGACAACCTTTATCCGTGCTAATGCTAAATCCTGTGCGTAATTCCTTTTACAACATTACCCCGTTGGTATAGGTGATGAAAACTAGATATATATGCTAAGAATTGATTGGATTGGATAGGGACGTAGGGTTACCTGGGATTAGGGGTGTTTTTGACAGATTTCTTGCCGTACTTCCTCCACTTGAAGCCATCATCCATCACTTCCAGCTCCGACTTGGTCCTAAATGCCACTCTACTTTCTGATCCCTTGCTAATTATTTTCTGCTTTCCATTACCATAATTTCTTCTGCTCTCGTGGTAGTCACCATCATCGTTCCTGTATAATCAGATTTTGATCCCAGCTCGATTAGAAAGAAAAAAATCAACAATGATCTGAAAAAGCGTCTCTAGCTTAATCCGAGTATGAAATAAATCGATCCAAAAAACCCAATAAAAATCATTATCCAATATTTTTAAGGAATTCAAGGTGATAAGAGAATGGATTGAATGATCCCATTTTAAAGTTCTTTTCTTGTCCCTCCCATTTTAAAGTACTAATAATGTAACACATCAACAACTGTGAAAATGAAGTGACATAAAAAAAAAGAACAGACAAATGAGCAACTTGCTGTACGTCAAAAGAAACAATATAACGTCAGTTCAGCGTTACCCGACAGAGTTCCAAGAGCCGCCGCCGCCATCGCCGCCGGACCCAATTTGGACAGGAGAGTCCGTAGCAGCAGTAGTAGTGTCGGCGAAGGTGTGGTGGGGATCAGGCGAGTAATCATCCATGTAATAATTGCTATTATAATCGTCGTGATCGCCTCCTTCCGGTAACAGGTAGTCGGAGAAGTGGAACTCCGGCACGGCGGCGGGATCCGCGAATTGCGGGAAGGACGGCGGAGGAGGGGAGTAATTAGGGTTAGGGTTGAAGAAGTTCATTGCGGGAAGGAAGGAAGGGAGGGAGAAAGAGAAATACTGACTAAGCACACAAAAAAAAATATTTGAGACAAAATAAAAGAAGGAGGTGTGGCCGTGGCAGAGATATTTATATAAATTTCCTAAAAGAATATAATTTTTATTTATTAGTAATAATAATAATAATAATAATAATAATAATAATAATAATAATAATAATGTTGGATTTAGCTGAACACAGAGCTGCAGCTTCATGGACAGGTTCGTGGGGAGATGCAGTGAAACTTCCTGCTGTGGTGCCACGTGGCGGCAATGGCCAAAAAGTGATGTCATGTTGGTGAGGTCATGCGCACGTAACAGTTAGGGATCGAATCTACCTGGGCCACTCTCGAGTCTCGATAATGAATGTCCATCACGGGTTATTTCTTTTTAGATTTATAATAAGCAAATATATGGTTTTCATTTTTCAATAACTCTACGTGTGGTTTAGAACTTTTGCATTTCTGAATATAAATATATATACACACTCCATTAGTTTTTTGGTTTCAATGTATTTAGAATACATGTATTTGGAGTGGAACCTCAAATATGATAGGTATGGAATATTTCATTTGATAATCTCACAAAAGAAAACAAGATGAGATTCCAAGAAATAGTGCGGAAACGTAAAAGATACGAGATTTAACGTGGTTCTTCCTCAAGGTGTCGGTGTGTGAGGCTTACATCCACGGGAGAATATTGTTGATCTTATTGATTAAGGAGGCACACAGTCTTACACATGTATTTATACCCTATTTCACAATTCCCTAGGGTTACATGATGCACTCCAGAACGGGTGTTAGTTTTCTTGATGGACTCAGACTCGTGTATACGAGTTGCATGGGCTGCATGGGCCGGGACCACCTCTCTATCTCGGTCCAATACTCCCCCGCAAGCTGGCGAGTGGAGGTTTCGAACGTGCAGCTTGGACAAGAGGAAATGAAAACGAACCACTCCCAAACAGTGGCGGATCCAGGATCGAGTAGAGCACTGGGTCACATTTGAAAAAAAGGTGAATAGGGTTGGGCCGTAACACGACAAACACTGAAATGAACATCGAAAATTAAAAATTTACAAGTGTTATACTAGCTCTGGATCGAGGGAGGGCTGGGCCGTGGCCCGGGGGCTGCCCCCCTAGATCTGCCGCTGCTCCCAAACCTTTAGTGAGAAGATCGCGAGTTCAAGGTCAGTATGAATCTTCACCGACAAGATGTCACTAGAGTGAACGTGCTCCCTGACAAAGTAACAATCCATCTCCACGTGCTTAGTGTTTTCATGAAAGACGGGATTGTTAGCAATGTGAAGAGCGGCTTGGTTGTCACAATGCAGAGGCATGGTACCAGACTGGCGGACCCCTAACTCCTGTAACAGCTATCGTAGCCAAATAATCTCACTGACTGTGCTCGCCATCGCACGGTACTCTGCTTCAGCGGAGGAGCGCGCAACTACACGTTGCTTCTTTGTCCGCCAAGAAATCGGTGCACCACCAAGACTGATGTAGAACCCCGTGGTTGAACACCTGGTGCTTTGGCAACCGCCCCAATCCGCATCGCAGTATGCTGTGAGTTGGAGACAAGTATTTCTGGGAAAGTAAAGACCCTACCCCGGCTAATTCTTGAGATACAGGAGGACCCTGTAAGCACTATCAAGGTGCGCTTGACTAGGTGCCTGCACATGCTGACTCAGAATGTTAACAACATAAGTAATATCAGGTCGCGTAATGGTAAGGTAAAGTAACCGGCCAATTAAAAGACGATAAAGAGATGGATCGACCAAGGCTTCCTCTCCTGATCGTGTCAACTTGTGATTCTACTCGATAGGAAAAATGATAGGCCAAGAACCTTGAACTCCAGCATCCTCCAGGATATCTAGTGTATATTTGCGCTGGCTCAAGACGACACGTGTAGCAGTCTGTGTCATTTCGATGCCCAAAAAATACCGTAGTTGTCCAAGGTCTTTAATGCTAAAACGATCGTCGAGAAACTTCTTGAGATGCGTCATAAAGGATAGATCATTCCCAATCAGTATGACATCATCCACACATATAAGGGCAACAACAAAAGATCTTCATTTCTTGTGGATGAAGAGGGATGCATCAGCGGGAGAGGCAAGAAAACCAAACTCGACCAAAGCCGCTGTGAATTTTTGGAACCAGTTGCGCAAGACTTTATGCAGACAATAAATAGATTTATGCAACCGACAAACTCGACGGTCACCTGGTTCACGCAATCCTGGAGGGATTTCCATATAAACTTCTTCTTCGAGGTCACCAAGGAGGAACACATTGTTCACGTCCAACTGGTGCAGGATAACATCCTTGACTAATGGCTACTGCAATAAGGCACCAGACGGTAACTAGCTTGGCTACCGGTGCAAATGTGTCGTGGAAATCCAAACCCTCTATCTGTGTATAACCTTTAGCAACAAGGCGCGCCTTGTAGCGCTAAATAGTGCAATCTAGAAAGTACTTGATCCTGTACACCCACTTGGCTGCAATCGCACGTTTCCTGGTGGGAGATCTACCAAGCTCCAAGTCCCATTCTTCTCGAGTGTCGCGATCTCCTTAGTCATTCCTTCACGCCAACGCGGGTCCTTGAAAGACTGGTGAAAATATTTTGGCTCATCTTCTTTGGTGATGGATGTAAGAAAGGCATGAAAGTGCGGTGAAAAACCATCATAACTCACAGAGGCAACCATGGGGTACTGAACTCAATTTAAGTTACTTCCATGTGATTGTGGGAAGAAAATTCAGTGTCATAGGGCTCCAAATGCTTGGGGAGACGTCTTTCTCGATCTCCACGTCAAAGGTCAGGCGCTGGAGGTGATGAACTGTCGAAAACTGGTGGAGATGAGGGGCTCAATGGTGCGGAGCCAGCTGCGTCAGCCGCTGTATGGGAGGACTCATTTCCAAGGCCCATTAGGGGCACTGTGTGCTTTATCTCGGTTGAAGTAATGGGTGAGGGAGACGATGGAGGTTCATTACATGGCTCTGGGCCGTCTACGACGAGAGGCGACTGTGACTCGTCGACTTCTACCGGGCTGTTGACAGTGGGCAAGTCTTCTGATCCTATTGGAACCGGCCTAGGTATCTCGTGCAATTCTCGACTTACTCCCTCTTGAAATGGAAATAAGTGCTCATGGAACTGAATATAACGAGAGGTGATGACTCGTCTTGTTTGCAAGTCGTAAACACGATATCCTTTCTCACTTGCATAGCCCAAAAACATACCCTCCTGGCCGCGCTCACCGAATTTGTCCAAGTGAGCATGTGTGTCTTTATAGTACACCAAGCACCCAAAAACTCGCAAGTGATGATAGGTGGGAACCCGCTGGTACAACAATTCAAAATGTGTCTTTCCATTTGCTGTGGTCGGCAACCTATTTATTAGATAGACATCCATTAATATGCATTCTCCCCAGAACTGGAGAAGTAGACTAGCTTGGAAACGAAGTGCCCACGCTGTGTCTAGGATGTGTCGATACTTCCTTTCTACTATGCCATTCTGTTGCGGAGTGTCGGTGCATGATGTTTGTAACAGAATGCCCTCTTGTGCATAGTGAGCTCGTAACCCCTCTGTACTGAACTCATAACCATTATCTGCCTGTATTCGTTTTACACGAGTGCCAAACTGTGTTCGAACCATTTGGAAGAACTGTAGCAAATAACGTTCAACATTCGATTTGTATCTCAGCAAATATACCCAAACATCATGAGTAAAATCATCCACAATAGTCAAAAAATAATGAGCACCGCTTAAGTATGCAATTTTATAACCTCCCCATAAATCCATATGAATCAACTCAGAACTGGTCGTTGTCTTAATCATGCTAGACTGAAAAGGAAGACGAGACTGTTTGGCCCGAGAACAAGAATGATAAGGGCCTTTATTTGACTGTAAAGGGAGAGATAACAAACTTTCAACATATGATTGTTTGTCCGCTGTGGGGTGACCTAACCGTGCATGCCAATCAGCTAACGTTACTGGCTTATTCTCTCGAACCTTGCAAGTCTGCGTCCTTCCAGCTCCAAACAAACACAAGTAGTATATGCCATCTCGCAGTTCACCATTTCCAATCAATTTCTTAGAGTGTAAGTCCTAGATGATGCAAAAACCATCAAGGAATATCAGGGCAACATTGTTATCCTTTGTCAATCGACTCACAGAAACCAAATTGCATTGAAACTTCGATACATGCAACACTCGGCTCAAACTGAATCCAGGTTGAAGAACCACCGAACCCACATGCTTTACTAGCATGCTCTCACCATTGGGAATACGCACTGGTTGACTGCTAAAATGGTTCTCCTTTCTAGATAATAAAGATTCATCCATGGTTATGAGCTCGTTACACCCAGAATCAATTAACCATTCAGTGGTTTCAAAAAATTACCTGCCATGTGTAGGGGTGTACATGGGTCGGGTGGTCCGGGTTTAGACATTTTAATCACCCGACCCATGCACTACGGTTTGGGAAATATTCAACCCAAACCCACCCAAAAAAATCTAAACCCTATGGTTTGTTTCTAATTGGGTTGGGTCGGGTTGGCGATATTTTTAAGTAAAAACCCAACCGAACACAAAAATATGTAATTATTCTACATCATAAAAATATTTTATAACTAATTAAAAATTCAAACCAATAAACCAAGGTGAAAGGTATCAAAATTCACAAATATTTTTTGAATTTTAATAAAAATTGATTTACTTCAACTTATGTCTAGTTTTTTTCATGACATTTGTTGAAATAGGCTAAAAAGGTTACAAATGAACGCATCCAAAATATGTTATTCTATTAAAATTGTACACAAAAAAAAATTACGTGAATCATAGCTATATTAAATTTATGTCTAAACTTTAAGCCGAAGAATGCATTAGTTTATGGAGACCTTAAGAGAAAAACATGGCAAAATATCTTAATTTTCTCATAAGTATGACTATATACGACATAAATATTTTTTTGGTTACGAACTCATACCAATAATTGGAACATGGGCTGGGTCAGGTTCTACGGGTTGTGTAATCAAAAATCCAAACCCAACCCAAAAGAGGCTGGTTGTGCAAAAGAA